TGCCCAGTAAACCACAGAAGTTAAATCCACGTAACTCATTTTGTAACTTTCGTTCCGAAACTGATGTTAAGTAAAAAAACGATGCTGTTACGTATAGTTGTGACCTTTAATACCCACCGTCGACCAGTTTAAACGTTTACAATACTGCTTTGTTCGCATCTGTGTCGGTACGTGGCGTGGTACGTTGCACGGCCCATAGATTAGCCTTTGAAAATAGCCGTGAAGTGTTTTTATGATCGAAATGTCAAATTAAATATAGGTTAACTCGGCCAGTGCACGTGGACGCATAATTGAGTATTTTATCGTGTATGTTTGAAATGCAAGATGTTTCCTTTATTGAAGCGTTATTTATAATTGCTTTTATATTTAGTGCGAATCAGTTGTAGAAATTAGTTAACAGTCAGCTGGAAAAGTATTTAATATGAAACCGGCAAACAAGGTGAGTCTAATTGTACTGAATATATTTTAATTTATAAATTATTATAATAATGTTTAGTCATTTGCAGTATATAGGCCGCCTTCAATGCAAAGTCTGTTCATGTATTGTGATAATTGATTTATCATGTAATAATTGAAATTTTTAACACACCAGTCAGAACATAACCTCAATTCATGTGATATGAATAAAGAGAGTAAGTTATTTAGTTTTATACATATTCATTTTTATAGTTCACATTATTATCAGATACTAGCTATTAGCTAAGCTAAGCCAAATTGATATAAGTTGGTTTTCAATTGTAGAGAAAATTACAGTGCTGATAACCCCTACGAAAATGGATTTCAAACTAGGGAAATTTTCTCCAATAGAGAAGATAAATACAAAGTTAGATAATATATTAGAAATTATTAATCCTTTGTCACCAAAAAAAAAAAACGAGCGAGGCTTGAAAACATGCAAGAAGAAAAATAAGAACACATATCGATTAAGTGTTGAAAAGAAAATGAATTGTGGAGTATTTCTTAGTGATGATATTGTATTACAGAATAGGTATATTAATGTTTTACACAAAGAGAATTTTAACTAATATCATTAGTACTAATTGTAATGTTTTACTTTTAGGAAATTCACATATTTAATACGAAACCAGCAAAGGCGAGTATAATTGCACTGTTTTTTTTTTTTTTTTTTTACAAATTATTATATTAATGACTAATTAGTTATTTTCAGTATATAGGTCATGTGCAATGCAAATTCTTTTTATGTATTGTGATAATTGATTTATCACACAATTATTGAAATTTCTGACAGACCAGTCAAAAATCACATAGCCTCAATTCAGTGATATGATATGAATATTATAGGTAGATAAGTGTAATATATATGTTATCATACATATTCTTTATAATTTCATTAGTATCAGAACTATTCAGTTAAGCAAAAACTGATATAAATTGCTTTTCAATTGTAGAGAAAGAGTGCTCATAACCCCTATGGGTTGTCAAAATGGAATTCAAACTAGGGAAATTTACTCTAATCAAGAAGGTAAATTGTCACCAAAGGAATAAGCAAGACTTAAAACATGCAAGAAGGAAAACAAAGAATGCACCGGATATCACACATTATATGGATTAAGTGTTGAAGAGAACATGAATTGTTGAGTATTTCCTGTCTGATGATCTTGCATTACAGAATTGGTATATTAAGGTTCTACATGAAGAGAATTTTAACTAATATGATTTAGTACTAATTGTAATGTTTTACTTTTAGGAAATTCAGATCTTGAAAATTAATAAGATAAAATCAATGCAAGAAAATGATTGAGTGTGTGTTCATGGAATAATTATCTCTGTCATATGATCGTAGGAACTATATAGTCATTAACTTCAAATAATGAGTATATTTAGAGGTAATGTTCACAAATGACTAATTTGTTCACAATGTTTTCAATTCAAATTTGTTTACAATGTTTCTAAGATGTTTGGTTCTATTTTAGATACATTAACAGATGCAAGTGAGTTGAACATATTTAACGCAAGACTTAACTTTGCCAAGTCTGATTTAACTGAAGTTGCCAAGAGAGTTAAACATAATACATATTATGAATAAATAAATAATTATTTTTATAGGCTAACATTTTATGGACTATCAATTTTAGTTTTCTAATGTTGCAACTATGTAATATGTAAATTTTGTATATTGTAAATGATATTATTTAATAAAATTACTAAATATCCGAAATTGATTCTATATTTGCAGGAAATTTAATTAAATAATTATGTAACATAAAGACACCTGCACGCTTTTTTATTCAATTTAGATACGTAGCAAAAATGCAACCGCGGTGTATTAGTGTTCAACGAACAACCGTTACGTTCTTGCCCGCGAAATAAATACTTCTGTGTGCCTCCCAGGTTACGTACCTGGTTCGTGCGGACGTGCCAGCGTCACGTAACATTCATTTTACGTTGCCAGACATTTTGGGCCCTGCTAAATATGTGCCAGACGCCAATATATTTATTATTTTTTTAAAAATTCAAATCATTTTAGTCCGTCTGAAATTTTAGTATTATGTTCGTTAAGGGTAAAAACACATAAAATTAATTTGCCAGACGTTTCTGCAGTTGTGAAGCATGTCTGGCAACGAAAAAGTCTGGCAATATAGATACTAGTAGACAGAGTGAGACAATCGCCAAATACATTGGCGCGAATGAAACAAAAAGCTATTATACTCGTAAGAGCGCAATACGTTACTAGGCAGAAAACCATAAGAAAAATCAAGTAACTATTAGACTGATGTGTTTGTTATAAACTTCTCTTCAAAATGTGTTTTATATACCATTTTTTTTAGAATCGCCGTTTCTTACAAATTGCCATCTGAAAAGTTAAAAAATTCATATTCCTCATAATATGCATCCTTTATAAATACATCATCTAAATGGTTTCAACTTAATTTTCATTTGAAGCATAGAGAGTATTTTCTAGAAAGATGAGGCATTTTATCGTGGCGCGTCTTTTCAAAGTCAATATGGTTCTCTATGTTTCCGCTCTCTCTAATTCTACAAACAAACTCTATGCTTCAAATGCCAATAATAAATGTAAATTTACCTAGACAATATAATAATAAATTTAGTTAGAATAATTGATCATATTGAAAATAATCATTGATTAAACTAGACTATTATTTAGCACACAACTATTTTCGTTAATTTTTCTGAGTGTAAGCAGTGAAAATATAAAAATGTCGGAGGAAACAATTATTCTATGAATGATCAGGCAATTAAAATTGAACCACCAGAATATTCACCAGAAGACATTAAACACGAAATGGAGGATGATTTTGATGATCCCGACGTTATTGTTAAATCTGAATCGTGTTCTGAAGATAATGATACGTGTTTAGAAAGATTTATGAATTCCGAGGTAACAATCGAAGAAGAAGTTAAACAGGAGTTAGTCGAGACATTAACTTATGAATGTGACGTTTGCAATAGATCATTTGCAGAATCAGATCATTTAAAAGAGCATATGGCCCATCATTTTCCTAATAATAGCAAAGAAATTCCTTTCAAATGTGAAATCTGTCACAAGGCCTTTTAATCAATTAAGTGGTCTGAAAAGGCATATGCTCATTCACAGTGGTGAGCGCGCTCATGAATGCAATATATGCAACAAGAAATTTACACAATCAGGTCATTTGAAAAGTCACATGCTGATACACAGTGGAGTACACACGCCCATGAATGCAATATATGCAAGAAGACATTCACACAAACAGGTAGTCTGAAAAGACACATGCTCATTCACATTGGAGTACAACACGCCCATGAATGCAATATATGCAAAAAAAAATTTACAGAAAGAAGTAATCTGAAAAAACACATGCTGAGACACAGTGGAGTACGTCCCCATGAATGCGATATATGCAATAAGACATTCACAGAATTAGGTAATCTGAAAAGTCACAAGCTGATACACAGTGATGAGCGCCCTCATCGATGCAATATATGCAAAAGACATTCAAACAATCAGGTAGTCTAAAAAGACACATGCTCATTCACAATGGAATACTCCCGCATGAATGCAATATATGCAAAAAGACATTCAAGCGATCAACAATTCTGAAATGTCACATGCTGATACACAGTGGAGTAAAACTGCATCAATGCAATATGTGCAAAAAACATTCACGCAATCAAGTAGTTTAAAAAATCACATGGTAGTGCATAGTGGAGTACGTCCCCATGAATGCAGTATATGCAATAAGACATTCGGACTATTAGGTAATCTGAAAAGTCCATGCTGATACATAGTGGAGTACGTTCCTATGAATGCAATGTATGCAACAAGACATACACGCTATCACAAAGTCTGAAAAGTCACATGCTGATGCACAAAGAAGTAGGCTCTCATGAATGCAATACATGCAATAAGAAATTCAAAACGATTAAGTCATTTGAAAAGGCACAAGTTTGATTCATAATCGAGAGCATACTGATAAATGTGAAGTATGTAATAAGTAATTTACTCAATCGAAGATTTGAAGAGACACATGGCACTTCATAGTTTTAAGAGTGGTGGAGATCAATGAAATATATACTTACATTTAAATATTGTAATTTTTCTTGCATGTAATGGAATGTATAAATAGTATGAAATATCACAACAAATAAAAATTAAACCGGCATGAAGTGGCTCATTCCGGAAAACGTCAAAAAAATAAAAAAAAGCAAAAGAAATGAAAGCGATATGATATGATCTAGTTGGCACTTTGTGATTTGGTCATGTAAGTTTGTAAAGTGGAAGAATTATAATGTGAGAAAAGTGACTTCAATTATTTGAAATCACAATCCATACTTATAATCATTTTAATTTGCTTAATATATATTATCAGAAAATGCCATTCTATATTTACTTTAGTAACAATTATGTTTTTTTTTCTCAATTTATATTATGTAAATGTAATTGTTAAAATGATTTTGAATATAATATTGTAATTTTTTGTATTTACCAGAGTCGAAGAGAACTACATAAAGAGAAAGATATTTATATATCTTTCAGAGGTTAAATACAAATATTTATTAGTGTAGAAATGCCTTTTATTTTTAATTTATTCAAAACTCATTATAATCTTTTTTTAACTTCCCATAGGAGAAGTTCATGTTTTCATAAAAAATCCGATTCGCTAATTTTGTTTTCTCGACGTTTCAAGCCATTCTGAATCGAATGAGACCAAATTTGGAAAACTATATGTGTGTGTGTGTGAACAGATTTTTTGCCGCAAATCGACGTTTTTTTCAAAAACAGCTGCACTGATTTCAAAATTTTGAAAGCCATTTGATGTATCTCGATGAGGACTATCGTTTGTCAGTTTGTGCGATGATCTGCCAAGCCCTTTCTTTGTAATCGATTTAAAAAATTAAATGCTGTTCGAAAGACATTAGTTGGGAATGATACTGATTAGTTTTAGGTGAAAATTACCGAGTCGTTTTCTTGTAATAACTGTTGAAAAAAATTAAATCCGATTTTTATGAAACTTTCTTGGCTATATATCGCCAATATCATGGTTTTATAGAACTTACTGAAAATTACGGCCTTACGACAAGTAGTTCAATTTTAAAATTGATCAAAGTTTGAGAAAATGAGTAGTTCTTTTGACATTTGTTAAATTAAAATTAGACTATTTACTTGGTATAATGATAGAGTACTTGGTCTTGAACATAATAAACCATTGAAGTCCTGGAAACTGGTTCAATTATAAAAATTATTGTTTTTTGAAAATTTGCTATTAGAAAATACTCCGAGTCAAAGTGTTCGTTCGTTTTCAATTATGTGTAATATATCCATTCGGAATACTTTTAATCACTCATAAATTAATTTATTTTTTATTGATTAAGTCAATTTTTTAAACATATCGAGAAGTTTATGTAACTTGCCTCAAGTCTAAATACCAGACCAACTAGTTTGTTGAATGTTTTACCGATACTATACTACATTACATTAAAATCACCAAAATTTTTAAATTGCCCCCCTGAAATTACAAACTGAACCCCCCCCCCGTGGGTCGTGCGCCCCACGTTGGGAAACACTGCTTTAGGGAAAAAAATTGGAGTCAGACTTTTATTATTAGAATACAGATTTTTACAAAAGTTTTACGCCGAATTGTAACTATTTTAATATAGTATTATTTAACTTTTGTGTAGAAGTTTTTGAAATTATAATAATATATGTTTGCTAATAATTTTATCGGATGAATAGAATCTTACAGGCAATTTATAATGAGAGTATACTACTTTATAAATATTTTAAATATATAAGCAATTACTTTAGCCAGTTTTAATCTGAGAAAATGTTTTAGATAAATTAATTAGCTACAATTTTATCTATATCATATTTAGTTACAAAATACAGTTTAGAAGTTAATAGAAGATAATAATTATTATTAAAAATTTAAAAGAATGTCTTTACTCTAGACAACACTCGTCGCCATTACCATCACTTTTGAGCTTATGCAACTTCGTAAATAATTTAAAAATATAAATAATGATTTCATAATATTTTTATCTAAAAAAATGTTTTAGATAATTTAATTACCTATAATTCTATCAATTTGATCAAACATGATATTTAGTTACAAAATACAGATTAGATGTTATTAACAAAAATGTTAAAAAATGTCTTATATTGTCTATGCAAATTTAAAAATATTTAAAAATAGAAACAAAAACTTTACATATAGTTTTTGTCTGAGTAAATATTTTAGATAATTTATACAGCTATAATTTCCTCTTATACAACATTCATATACAATCTATAGATTTTGAGTAATCGACATAATCACGAATAAATGTCCTGAATTTACAGCACTAACTAAGTAACTGTGAATTATTATGTAATAATGCATTAAATATTTTTCTGAATTGAAATCAGTTTTAAAGTGACTTTCGTCGGTTTGTATAAATATTTTATTTAATCGAATTAAATCGGATTTATTTAAGTGTTCTGTGTGAAATTAATTGTGTTGTAATAATTTTAATAGTGATTTTAATTTTTCTAGTTAAAATAATGGTTTTGTAGAAGATGTTAACGTGAAAGTACCAAAAAGTAAGTAATCATTTAGTAAAATAATTTAGTAATTAAATCATACACATTTTATAGCATTTAAATAAAATATTTCCTAAAATGTTAGAAAAAATAAATTTAATTATATTTAGAACGAATTCTTTTATGAATATTCCAATGTGAAGTGTTTGTCTGATGGAGAGAAGTTGATACGGACATTTATTTATATTTTCATTAATAACTTTTAAATTACTTATTACAACTAAATACTATCTTTAACAAAGTTATTGTTGAATAAATTCCCTAACACATTTGCTTAAACAAAAATGTTGTAAAATGTGTGCTTATATTTTTAAAATATTTTTAAACATGCTTAATGTTGAAAACGTGTCGGCCATTTTGTAATACAAAGACATTTTTCTGTATTTTGATCAATAACTTTTAAATGACTTATTATAACTAAATACCGTCTTTGACAAAGTTATAGCTGAATAAATTGTCTAAAATATTCTCTTAGATGAAAATATTGTAAAAATTCTGCTTATATTTTTAAGATATTTCTAAACTTCTTGAAAACGTGTTGGCCATTTGTTGTACAAACTTTTAAATTACTCATTATAACTTTTAACACTATCTTTGAAAAAATTGTAGCTAAATAAATTTTTTAAAATATTTTCTTACATTATGTAAAGTTTGTGACTATATTTTAAAATATTTTTGAAGTTGCTTATATTGATACGTCCAGAACTTTGTGAGGTACAAAGATATTTTTCAGTATTTTTATTAATAACTTTTAAATTACTTATTATAACTAAATACTGTCTTCAAAAAATATAGCTGAATAAATTCTCTAAAACATTTTTCTTAGACAAAAATGTTGTACAATTTGTGCTCATATTTTTAAAAACATTTTAAATTTGAACGTGGTATATTTCTGGATAATAAAGACATTTTTTAGTATTTTTGTTACTAACTTCTAAATTACGTGTTCAATCTAAATATAATATTAGATAAAAATGTAGCTAGATTAATTAATAACTTCTCGTAGGGTAAGTTATTGTAATGGGCCGCAAATCGGAATTGAAAATTTTTACATTTCTCGACGTTTTGACGTGTGTGTGTGTGTGAGTGTGTATGTATACAAATTTTTGTCCACGTTTTCGGGCGTACGGATCAACCGATTTGAATGGCTCAAAAAACATTTGATTCTTATTGACAAGGAGATGTGCTGATTAGTTTTTGGCAAAAGCAGGTCCAGCCGTTGCGGAGATAAGGAGCAAAGAGCGCAGAAAAAAGAAATCAAGTTTTTGAGAGAACGGAGCATCCGATTTGAATGAACTAAAAAACATTCAATTAGTAATGATTGGGAGAAGTGGTTGTTAGTTTTTAGCAAAGGCGGGCCCAGCCATTTCGAAGATACGGAGCTAAATATGTACAAAATATGGTAGTTTTTGAGAGAACTAAGCGTCCAGATTTAATTGATTCAAAAAACTTTCTGCTTGTATTGACAAAACAATTGATTTTGAAAAAAAAAATTGTTTCAATTTTTTTTTTTTTTTGTATTTTGTATATCGAAAATATTTCAGATTTATTTTTAATTCTGACTATAGTTCTAATATACTTTACAAATAATTTCAAACTCTGCAATTCGTTTATATAATTCTTATAAATATTAGACAATGTTACAATATTTATAATAATCTATTTGAAAACATTTAGTATTCCACGAACATTTCGTTACGGTGCGGGAAGTTCCAGCAATTTGCCTTAAGGCACGATGCCATAATTGCCTCAAGACAGAATTCCACTTACAGCTAGTTTAATTATTATATGCAGAGTTTGAAAATCATGCACATGTACAAAATAATTTTAAATTTTCCTTGATTT